AAACCTACATTTGGTCTGTCATAGGTATGCCAAGGTGACACCATCCGTGTAACAGTTAATAATACTATGGAGGATGAACTCAGCACATCGATCCATTGGCACGGCCAGTACCAATACGGAACCAACTGGATGGATGGTGTTGGTATGGTCACTCAATGCCCCATAAAGAATGGTCCATTATTCGTTTACGAATTTGTGGCAAATCCAGCAGGAACCCAACTCTGGTACGATATGTCAGGATTAAGCCAGAGCGACGGCTTGTTTGGCTCATTGATTGTTAGACAACCCATCGAAGAGGAAGCAGAGGTCATCAGCAAAGCGTATGACTACGATCTTGCTGAACACGTGATTGTGATGAGTGACTGGTCAACTATAGATGGACTGGAAACATTCACCACTGCCTATGCACCTGCCAAAGTAGTCAGAGATCATACTATTAATATCTTGATTAACGGAAAGGCACAAGGAGCGGAGTTCATAGACGCATTTGGAAGAAGTGCGTACACTCCACGGGAGACATTCGGAGTTGTAAAGGGAAATCGCTACCGTATGCGGATCATGAATGCAGCAGCAACGTCTTGTAACATCGCCGTTTACGTCGAATCCCATTCGCTGAAAGTTATTGCTGCGGACGGCAGTCTGGTCGATCCAGTAGACGTAGATTACTTGATCATCTCGCCAGGCGAAAGGTTAGTAACTACTTTTTAAATGTAGTTCGCGTTATGATCATTTGATTTTCATATAAACTATTCATTCAACTTATCTTTTCGCCAAATTTAAGCGTGTTTCGTGTGTATGTGTGATTTTTTTTTTTTTTTTTTTTTTTTTTTTTTTTTTTGCTGGACGTATGAATGAATGCCATCGAATTTAGATGTAGGCTACCGTAGGTAGGCGGTAGGTTTAAACTTGTAGCTCAGTAGACAGGCTAGGCCGTGTCAAAATAAAACAGGGTTATATGAATTTTTCACATGGTCTGCAAACAAAACATTTCAGAAAATATCTTGAAGGTAAATTTAATGACGTCATGATTGAGTTACAATAATTACCATTTGACTACATCAATCATTATTGCATTAATTGTGCTGCTGCTGTTGTGTTTTATATTGTCGACAGGCCTATTATTTGAGATGTGTATCATACACGTGAATATGTTCCTCGTAAACATTTTGTTCTATTGACAGCTATGACTTCGTGATCTATGCCAATCAATAAAAGTCCTCGTACTGTATGCACTTTGTTGGGACATCATCAAGCGCGTGTCAGATTTCGTCATCTGCAATTCTACATTACAATGACTACGACAAAAACCTGGCGTGCAGCAATTCTCTTATATTCGACGATGTAGTGTCGTCACTCTTTTTTTTTTGGTTATGCTGTAGAGATGTATGTATGTATCATTCATTTTCTGAGGAAAAAATATGAAAACGGCCTTAGTATATTGCAAACCTAGTGTTTAGTTGTTTAAATTACTTTCATAAATATATGGGTTATAATAACTCAGCAAATGACGCTATCACAGGGGCGGATCCATACATTTTCAAACAGGGTGGGCCGGGTGCTGTTGGGCCGGGTGGGGGAGGGGAAGGGACGGCTTGAGGCACAACATTTTCAGAATAGATAAGTGAGTAGCACATAACATTGATATCTATTGAAATTTTAAAATTTATTGGCAAACCCCACTAATCTGATGGCACGGTACCGGTATATATTTAATTAATTTATATTCATTCAACTTCATTCAACACAGGCAAATATAAAATAAAATAAGGTCATGTTGCCATTCTATGCTTAATTTAGATTCAGTAGGCTCAAGCCTTGTAGGTGTCGATGACCTGCGATATGTATCACTCAGTACCTTTTACGATGACCGGTTCAAGTCTTTGCACACGTATGGCTGGGTTCAGGTGATTGACAACGTGGCTTATAAAGTTTCACATGCACCATTGCTGAGTCACGAGACGGACGGTATTGAGATATGTGAGGCTAATGGCGACTACAAAATATACGAATCTTGTGAAGACAAGATATGTTCATGTACTAATGTCATGAAATTAGAACTAGGAAAGGTTAGTATATTAATTTATTAATATGAGTGAGTATAGCTTCAAGTATTATAAGGTCCTATCCAGAAAACTTTTGTTTGACTGGACGGGGAAGTTGCAAAGCACCAATCGACGATTTTTGTATTTTTTGTTGTCTACTGGGGTGCGGGAGGGGGAGGGGGGACTTATTTTCGCCATCCTTGCAAATATCATGTAGGGCCTACCTATGTGAAATGTTAAGATGTCTGGTGTCGACCCACACAAAAGGATTCTATTCTGAAAAAAGGTTGACCTTATCTTGCAATCCTTAAAGGTCACAATATACGGTACCTATTTATAGTTCGTATTTATTTTTGTTGTAGGTTGTTGAATTTGTACTTATGAACGTGAAAGGGAGTGTCTATTCCCACCCAATGCATCTACATGGACATGTCATGGGTCAAGGAACGTTCGACGACCAATCGGTCACAGAGGATGAAGTTAAGGAACTTGATAAATTAGGTCGGCATATTTGAAACGTTCCATCTAGATCTTAAAGCCAGGCTCCGAAGAAAAATATTTATATGTTATACAACTGATATTTTAAGACACAAAAAGCATATTTGACAATATGATGATATAAAAAGAAAACTGAGGAAAAATACGGGCGTAACCACCCTTATTCCATCCCCATGTTTTTAAAGATTCAATATTCTCTACCTAACCGTTCCTGAGTGTTTCGTCCAACACCCTTTTTATGTCTTAGAAAGAATCAGTTGTACATATCAAGAAAATGTTTTCCCCTGAAGCCTGTAGGCCTATTAAATTCGAGAAGCTAAAGCGTCACTTAAAAAGACAATTGGCATGAAAATACTGTAACTCTCCATTACGCTTGAACCTGTCACTTATTTTAGTAATCTTTAACAGTAACATTTGTTTTCACATAGACCTAAAATCTTACAACTGGTTGCGATTGAATGGCATTAAAGGCGGCTGCCAGCATTAGTTACAAACAATCCCATAAACTATCTTCTTATGAATATGATTTTAAGTAGACTTATAAGAAAACATGTTGTGATTGTTATTGCCATTTAACACCTAATTTATATTAATTAGCGTATTAGGCATATTAATGAATAAATTATCATCATCATAATCATAATCACCATTATCATCATCATCATCGTCATCTTCATCATCAAGGGGTTACCAACTCTATTAGAGACCCTAGTTATAATGTAGAGATCACTCTGCTACATCACTATTCATTCATTTATTGTAGGTCTACTGCAAAGACTTCCTGTAGACCAAGTTGTCATAAAAAACACAGTTGATGTACCAGTAAACGGTTACGCAATCATCCGATGGAAGGCAGATAATCCAGGATTATTGTACTTTCACAGTGAAGTCGTCAACCACCAAACAGTAAGTCCAACACACCAGGAACAAAACCAAATAACTACCAACAAAATAGGATTGTTCATGAAAAGGGAGGCAGCATAGCACACGGGGAAAATTACTGTGGCATGAGCAGTGGAGATCGTTACAGATTTTGGTCCCTAGTTCAATTCCACCTTTGCATTACAGATGTAGGGATGACATGGCATGCTAAGCTAATTTGATAACAGACCTACCATTTTAACTTTTATAAACTTTCATTATATTTTTCTATTTCACTTTTAGCATTGTGCTGCTTTAGGTTTTTTTTTAATCATTCATTGAAATACAAAAACAAACAAAAAAAATGCATAAAAAAGAAACTTTATCATTTCCTATTAACCAAATGAGTTTTGTGGTGTCATTTTTACATTGACTGCTATTGTTATTTTTTGTTCTTTTTATTTCGGCTGTCATATTCACGTTCTGTTGCATTCGTTGATGAATTCAATGTATTATTCTATTTTATCCGTAGGCTGGAATGGGTGTGGTTATACAAGTAGGCGATGACGATGAAATTACGAAACCACCAAAAGACTTTCCGAAGTGTGGTCCTTGGTCACCTTAGTTTCTCATACTTCAACACGATTTACACAGCGGCAGTGTGGATATAAAATATATAATGTAATTTGGAAAGTGAACATTGAATCTGTTTCATCAAATGTAATAATACGTACAAGAAAAACATTTTCATGAATGCAATTATGCCTATTTAGGCATAACTCTTTTAAAATCTAAACCTTATAATCGAATGGACAACCAATAGGCCTATATAAAATAACACATTGATATGTTTCTATGATAATAGATTTCAAGTATTGTTAAATAATTATTAACTATTAAAACTTTATTTTAAAAATAGTTATTAAATAATATCTGACGTAGAAGTAGAAGTTTTGCTTATTATTAAATATATAATAAGCCTATTTTAGGCCTAGAATTTTAATTTCTTTGGCTAATTCTGTAATATTATTGTTCTTGAGCATTTGAGTTTATTTCTTACCAATTTCTTGTGATCTCGACTGATGTGGGAGCGGTTGGCGCAGCGGTTGCAATATTGTTTCAACCCCGAGGCCAGAAGTAGTATGGTGTGCTGGTATAACCCACTCTAGAGGGCGCTCAGGGAAGGGTGATGCTACGACGTCATTTAATCCTATTCAATAAAGAACAAAAGACTAGTATACTTAATTGTTTTCTTACGTAACATAGACGCTACTGACGTCTGACTACAAGAAAATAGTGCAATTTTCTCTATCAAAATGAATGCAAACGAATACACCGATTCCAAGATTGTTAAGAAGGCAATTTCTACAATGCAGCGTGTAATGCAACCGTCTAAGAAGCAGAAAGTAGAAGTTGGACCGAATGTTAGCGCTTCTTTCAAACAAGATATGAAACCAGTAAATAGTCAGATTGCTTGCCGAAATACAGTCACAGCAACCAATCGTATTTTCTGATCCTAACTCAAAAGAGGCACGTGGTTGTTCAACGTTGGGGTGAAGATATGTTCGTTTGCATTAGAGAATATTACAAAACGGTAGAAGACGGTGAATTTAAACCTAGCCGAAAGAGAATTAACCTAACAATTATGCATTGGCGAGAACTTCTGAAACAAAGCGGAGCCGTTGATGACATGATTAAAGAACTTGAAGGTGTTGGTGAATGCAGTATGCCTACAGAAAAGGATGAAAATGATAATGGAAAACACCTGGACGAAACATGACGAAATGATGAAATGTGTTAAAAGTAACAATGAAAGCGGTCATTACAATTGGATGTATAACTTTGATCACGACGACGCACATCTTGGAAGTGTATATAACCTGAGGTATAAAAAGAGACTGCTACGGTTGTCAATTCGATAGGCCTAGTCAAATAGACCATGATGTCTGTCTTATGATAACGGAGGAGGAGCAGCTGGAAAAATATTTTAATGATGTATTGATTAATAATGATGGATATTTAGATTTTGACATTATGTACAATCATTGGTTTTGGTTACGAGACGATTCAAACAAGTTAACCTTTACAAATCTTATAAATCAAATTACAAAAGACGAAAATCTATATAATAAAATTTTGAATGTCATGAAATGTTAAGTAAATGGAATTGCAACGATCGTAACTTAATGCTATGTAAAGTTTTTTTTTTTCTCGTATGTATTACATTTTTATTACAGTTTCAATGTTCTATGTTTAATATTTTAAACATATAAGTAATAAATAAATAAATAAATAAAACTGAATATGAATGTTTTGTAAAAAAGAAATGTTTAATGTAAAAACTTGATATAATGTGTTTTGAAATTATGTTTGTAAACAAACCACTTTTTTTCTCACAGTAGGAAGTGATATGTCATTATTCGAGACCATGGTGACGTTGGTGATGAGAATGATGATGATGCTGATGATGATGGTGTTCAAGAAGATGATAAATTAAATTATAAGGATTATGCAAAGTATGGAGTGGTAATGATGAGGATGCTGTTGTTAGCGATGATGGCGAAGACTCAAAAAGTGTTGATAGTAACTAATGGTCAAGGCAATTCAACAAAAAGGCGCACATCTCGGGAGATCAAAGCATAATTATAACTCTGGCATTGACATTCTACGCGCCGCACGACCCTTCACGCTGATCTTCACAGAAACCATAGCAACCAAACCATAATTAACCATCAGCGTGTGACAAATTATTCACCCGTTACCAGTAGCCATTATATCGCGCGTCGTGCGATGGTTAAAAAGGTCTAATTAAGCGTTGCATTAACATTAGACTGAAATTATTTTCGTTATTGTAGCAATAATTTTACTGATGAGGTGGTGTCCGATGGTTCATAAGCCTCACTTCTTAAAAAAATAAATAAATTTTCTATATCGTTTTGTACACCTTAGTCCAACATTGTCAAGAACATTAAATTTTATAAAAATCATAAGTTTTGAATTGCTAACTTTTCATTTTATTGGTCAATTTTCACGAATTAAATTGCAGCTTACAGAAGCACTTGACCAGCTGGTGGTCAAAAGAAATCCGATGCAACATACATTGAGAAGTACCCAAAATTGATAAAATACTAACTAATATGAAACGTATGACACGCATTGAATTATAATTAACGGCTGTACTCACAACTATTATCGGATTGTCTATGCCGTTATATCTCTGTCAATGCCACAGTAAAGATGAAAGGACTCTACGCACGTGCTATGTTTGCGAGCGGAGATGTGCGTCCTTTTGTTTAAATGCCTTGTTATGATTATACATTATTGACATCCATAGCAATGGTGATGATGTTGTCGAAGATGACAATGATGGTGACTATGATGAGTGCAAAAGCGACTTACAGTACTGCAAACAAAAATGAAATATATTCCTAATACCTAATATTACATTTTGAAATATATAGTATGGTCTATAATATCCTCGGATACAATCAAAACTGAAGGAATAAAACAAAAATAACATAATAATTAGAAAAAATAACTTAAGGTTAAAAAATACTTTGAAGAAACATACTTATATTATTCACAATGCTATCGGCATAAAAATTATTTTTCCCTATCTAATTAACTTATAAATACGTACCTATAACATTAATAAAATTACGTACATTACTTCAATAGAAAATAGGAGGAACACAAGTGATGTGCTTTTATAAATGATAGCCATGTAAAATTAAAATTCAATGAACAAAACCCTAGTCAAATTTTAAAACATGTAAAACATGAATTCAAAATCACTCTAAGAATAAAAATAATAACAATTATATTAAACAAGAATTTTTGAATTAGTTCACCTGTTAAAAATTCAGAGACGAAAAAAAAATGATAAAGTCAGAAGTACTTAACACAGAAAATAGAAAAAAGTACTGTAAGATAAAAGTAAAAGTATTTGAAGAAATTTAAAATATACGAAACGCAAAAAAAGAACTGCGAAACAGTTACAGTACTCCCAAAATACTTTAAATAAAATGTAAAATTTCAAAAGTACAAAACACAGTGATATAATATGAATTAACATGAATTAACAATTAAAATAAAATAAATAAAACAAAATAATTTAAAGAGGATATAAATATACGATTTATACCCATTATATAAATATACAGCCTCGCCGTAAAAAATCAGAAATGAAAAACTTTTAGAAATGATAGATTCAAGTAGGTCTATGTAATATGTTTAAATAAGAGAATAATTTAAAAAAAAAAAACGGGAAAAAAAGCACGTGTAAACACTTTTAAAGAATGAATTCATTTGTAAGACTGTAAAATATTAACTTTTACTTAAATTCTAATTACTTAATTAATAAATATCACATTATTTCCTCCAAAAATGTGAAATAAACGGTTTAAGCAGTTGTCAAACGCAAGACAGTAAGACACAGTGTGACTAAACGTAAAATATACTATAATACAAACCTTGAAAAAAAAACAAAAAATAAAATAAAATGTTTCTCTGATATTTATGAAATGGTATAATTATTAATGCAATTTTGAAAAGACTTATTCACAAATATGATGATTAATCTAAACTGCAGAACACATTTAAGTTTGATAAATTATACCGAATAAAGTTAAAACCAAAAATTAAATTCAAATACAGTGTATAACACTTACAAGCAATTCGTTAAAAAAAAATGATTTGAAGCTTCTGAATGTTGAAAACAAATAAATTGAAAGTATATGTAAAGTGAATTAATTTTATGTAAGGAAAATTAAATTTATGTCAAGAAAATAAATTGTATGTAAAGAAAATAAATTCATGTAAAGAAATATATGTAAAGTAAATACATTTTATGTAACGGAAATGAAAATCGTGTAAAGCAAATATATTTTAGGTGAAAAAACAACGTAAAATCATGTACATAAAAAAATAAATAAATAAAAATGTACTAAAAAAAAACACGTAAAAAAATATTCTTGTAAAGTAAATTAATTTTATTTAAAGGAAACAAAATTCATGTCAATCTAAATTTTATATAAAATAAATCAATTTTATGTAAAGGAAATGAAAATCGTGTAAAGAAAATAATTCTATGTAAAAGAACAACGTAAAATCATATACATTAAAAAATAAAAATGTGATAAACAAAAATTCGTGTAAAGTAAATTAATTTTATGTAAAGGGAAAATAAAATTCGTGTCAAGAAAATAAATTTTATGTAAAGAAAACAAAATTCGTGTCAAGAAAATAAGTTTTATGTAAAGCATTATGTGTATATGTTTCACGTTCGCCAAACAAAGTAATTTCAAGTAATGAGAACGATTTATATCATGTTTCATCGATGAGCAAAGCTTCAATTTATTTCCTCAATCAGTCATATAATTATAATATATACAAAAATAAAATATGTCTCGTATGTTTAAAAAAGTAATAACATATATTTACGAAATATACAATATCTTCAGACATTACAAAAATAAAATATTTCTCTTATATTTCAAAAGTAATTACAATAATTTAAAATACATACAAAAGCAGGTCTAATTATTATAATTTACAATATATATACAATCAATTTTTTAGTTTACACAAACACTATATTTTTAATAATCGGCCAGTACAATATTTTATCAACATAGATAAAATCACTTACAATATTAAAGCAAAACTTTTACATAGTGTTACCATGGAGGAAATATATATTCATCCATAGTATTACTAAACATATCCATACGGTACAGTTTTAAACTCATCAATAATCATTCACTTATCATAGGCCAATACTATTCTATAATCTTTAGTCTAATTTAGTTTGACTTACAATTTTCTTGATTCTGGCTTATGGTTATCCGATTAGACTTAGATGTTGTAATTTTCTCTAGGCCTTTAACCATATTAGTAACAGTTTCGAAATCATATATACCTTCTATGATTCTTTTTAAAATTGAACGTGAAACATTTTATCTAAGAGAGGCTTTAGCCAGAGTATAACTTATAACAGTAATTTAGAGTCATCAGATACAAAACAAGGATTTTTTTCTCTTTTTTTTTCTTATTTTTGGTGACGGCGGGGATTACATCTTTTACTTTCTTAATAACAACAACGGATTTTTATTCGCTTTCCCCCCCCCCCTTTTTTTTTGTTATAACATTTATTATATCCCTCGCGAACTTGAAAACTTGGGAAAGACGATGAACAATAACGATGTTTACGGTGTTTTTCATTCATACACTTTGAATGTTATATGTTTTATTATCATAACTGCCATTTTTATAACATTTTTATGCCGATAGCATTGTGAATAATATAAGTATGTTTCTTCAAAGTATTTTTTAACCTTTAGTTATTTTTTCTAATTATTATGTTATTTTTGTTTTATTCCTTCAGTTTTGATAGTATCCGAGGATATTATAGACCATACTATATATTTAAAAATGTAATATTAGGTATTAGGAATATATTTCATTTTTGTTTGCAGTACTGTAAG